CAGTAGGAATCTTCCCTGATTCTAAACAATAAAATCCCTAGATACATGCGATCATGAATACTAACGAGTGATACATACATAATTAAGACGCTCTGCGATATTTGAAAATACAATATATATATGTATATATATATATAGGAATACCATTTTCATAAAGAAATCCATGAGCAACTTTTCAAAGAAAATATTTTCTTTTGTTTCTATATGATTCTAGTATAGTTTTCAAAAGTTCTTTACGAATATCCCTTGTTGACATTACGAAAAATTTTAATTATAGAAAAGAATCATTCTAATATAAGGCATAACAAACTATTACCCATTATAACCACATCAGATGAATCTATAGAATTCCATATATTCAACCTTACACCATGTAGGAGAGGGTTCAACAAAGGAGTTGGAAAATTCAAAGATCTTCGAAGATCCTTGAAGAACAACTTCGAGTTCTCTAGAAGATGATGAGAGGCTTAGATTCTTCAATAGTCTCAACTCAAGAACACAAGAGTAAAGGAGATGATGGAGATAAGAGATTGGGCGAAGAAGAAGGCAAAATGGCTAGAGAGAGAATAATGGCAAGGCTCTCCCATGGATCTCCCACTTTCACTCTTAAGGTTGATAATGGAAAAGGGAAATTAGTTCTTTCCCAAGAGTTAATTCTCCAAAATCCATCCCTTGTAAAGCTATGGGTGGGTGCTATTTATAGGCACCTCATGATGTAGGATGGAGCCCATATGAAAGGCACATGGAGAATATTCTCTCTACCCACCTTGTCCGAGGAGGTGACCTCTCCGAGGATGAGGAAAATCTCGAAGAGGAGATTAACCTCTCGGCGAACCCTTCTTCTTAGCCACACCTAACCAATGATCCCCAATCATTCCAAAGGGTCAGGGGTAGTCCCAGAGGACGTCCTGCCACTAAATATTGCCGAGTCTCATGGACCCCCCCGGAGTCGTGCCACCTCAACCCGGGTATAGGCTAGTTTAACCGAAGAGTGAATTTATCTCCACTCACCGTCCTCGGGATCGGATCCTTTGTTCGAACTCCATTACGCCCATGGTTCTGGTGCATAGATCCTGGAAAGCTCCGAGCCCGCAAGTGTTCTAGGACTCATTAGCCTTGTTTGGTAGAGCTGTGGGAAAGTGCTTATAGCTTATGCCTAAACAACTTATACCTTATAACTTTCAGCTTAAGCTGATTTCCAGCTTATTCTTAAAGCATCTCCTGCCCCACTCAAAGAATAAGCTGATTTCTGACTTCCACAAAGCTATAAGCTATAAGCTATAAGCTAAACCAAACACATCAAAATAACTTAAATTAAGCTGAAAACTGAAATAAGCTGTAAATAATTTCTGCCAAACAGGCACATTAACGGAGCAGCTTCTAGATTGTGTTTGAATCCGTTCGAAGCCAAGTGTTTTGGATCTCCAGGTTCGTGGATCCAAACCCTTTCGAGTTTGAGCCCGAGTAAGTCTCTAAGTCCATGGACCCGAACCCTTTCGAGGCTTAGAACGATTCGGCCCGTTTGATGGCGATAAATTTGGGCCCACCAATCTCAAGCTATTGGGCCTAATTAATTTAGCGGACTCAAATTAGCCCCTCTTACATACCATTATGATTATTTACTTCCCATTATCACAATCACACGTGTAGATCTCATTATAATCGTTTCACATAAACCAAATATAAACCGGCTCCATTACCAAGCCACATCATCGCACTACCACATTTTACTGATCACGAGTCAGAAAGAATATGAAACCTCACGCTTTACTGGTCACAAGCCGGAAAGAACGCGAAACCTTTACAAGTCTCATAAGCCCACACACTTTACCAAGAATTATTTCGGAAGGAAGGCGGAACCTTTATTAAGCACCACCCTTTGCCGGCTCAAATACGGTGGGAATTGGACCCCAAAGCAAAATCCCAATCCCCCAATTCATCAATTCATTCCCCATTATGATTTGTGGGCAAAGCCAACACATTGTTCATTATTTCCGTTACATATTAGCTCAATTACATGTCCACCATATGGTAAGGATTCATTCCCATAATAAGTACACATCATGTTTCACCACATTCTCTATTATTTATCAAGTCATTCATTGTTACAATTCTGACCAAAAAAATAAAAAATAACAACATTCATTGTGTTTATTACAAAAAAATCTAACACATCCACCAAAATTATAAAGGCTCATCTTTAGAAGTATTCACACTTCTTGTGTTCCAATTATGTCTCTACTTTTCCTCATCATCATCAAGTCTTCATACTCAATTTCACCATACAATAATCATCATAAATTATCCAAGATTAATTGATTTAATTATCAATCTTAATTTCTTTAACCTAACCCTTATATACAATGATCATCTTCCAACCATTAATTGTCATTATTTATACTCATCTCAACAAAACGTAAACTTAATTTCATGAATTTAACGTCAGCTTAAGCATTCGTCATTATCAAAATAAATTATGCAACTAGGGTTAAGCATAAATTAGGGCTTTTTACTATTCAACACAAAATCTTATTCCCACAACCAAATATTCCATATTCCATTTAAATGGTCAATTCAACTTCCAAAATTTAAAAACCTAACTTCCTTTACATGCTATTTTGAAAATATCCTCAAAACAAGGATTTTATGCAATAGAAATTACCACCCATCTCCACAAGATAATATTGAAGAGAAGCAAGGAAAATCCCTACCTTACTCAAGAAGAGAGAAAAATCCAAAATTTTGACTTTAATGAAAAAACAATCCGCTTAGATAGATAGAAAGCCCTTGGCGTGCTCTTCTTTTTTGTATAAGGAACATGGGGTAGAAAATGGGGAAAAAGAGATGAAAACCAAGCTTAAAAGCTTAAAACACTCAACAATGGAGGGAAAATAGGACAAGAGAGAGAAAGTGTAAGAGAGATGGAGAAAAGTTGACCAAAAAGTGATTTTAAACATGCTGAGTTTGGACACTTCACTCGAGCGAGGAAAGCTTGGCTCGAGCGAAGAAAAGAAGCTCTCAGAATCTCTAAAATTTGCGCAGTTCGCTCGAGTGCAACTTCCTTTGCTTGAGTGAACTTACTTCTAGCACAAATACACAAAGTTCAAGCGTCAGAAACAAGCTTTCCAATGGCTCTAGCCTCACACCCAAATTCAAAGTGTGGAAAAAGAAAAGGGCAAAAGAGTGATCACTATTCGTAAGACAATTATCCGAATCAAAGTTTTTGGTTCAATCCTATTTTATCATTATGATACCACCTCAATCAATATCCCAAAATGAACCCAAGAGGCTCCAAGTATAAAAATAAAAGTGTTCAGAGCAATCCCATTAATCCAAGAAGTATGAAGTGTGACATTTTCACTATTTAAAAAAAGAATTAAAAATAATAATAATGTTCTAGTTGGTGTGTATGACTATATATAGTTCTCCGAATGGTTCTATCCTACAAAACTATGTATGTTTCTAATTTGTATGGTTATATAGTTGTGCTATGTATTGTCATATATAGTTCGATCCTTTGTATTAGGATGAAATGGTAAGATTTGATATTATATATGAGTATCTTCTTCTTTTTTATTTTTCTTTTTTCTTTTTTTCCTTTTTTGAATTGACATATTATGTAAGAGTATCTATGGTTAACTTTGATAGTAGATCTTATAAGAAGAAGCATGAACACTTCTAAAAATGTGACGTATCCATGTCGGACTCGTTGAACACTTCTCAATACGTGTCTAACACTCGTCAAAATGTGTTCTATTTTATATATATATATATATATATTTTAAAATCTGGACACTCATGTCCTTTGTTTAAACATACGTGTACACACATGAAACTAATTATAAAATTGAACTAAATAACTTAGAATATAATAATAATAAAACAATGTAAATTTATAAAATAAGTATCCTATTATATTTTTTTAATTATATTTGAATGATATATCCATATATGGGACATATAATAAATATATAAAATTATATGTTTCGTGTATATCCCTTACGTGTTGTGTCCGGAATTTTTTGAAAATTGACATGTTGTCATGTTCGTGTCATAAATGTGTCAAGTTCGTGCTTCTAAGTTCATATATATATATATATATTTGAATATTCTCCTATCCCAAACTTCATACTACTGTGATTGTAGTACTTGGAGGTATACATCAACACAAAAATTTCACAAAATTTGATTTTTAAAGTAGTGTAGTAGGAATGGCTTTACCATTTTCTTTTACACAACAAGATTGATTTGTAAAAGTCTTTAACCTTTGTATGTTTGTTTATGAACTTGTTTATGAATGTGTTCATTTAAGCATAATGCTATATATGCGAATGAGAGGGTAAGTTTTTGTGAAAATTGGGCCGAGCTATGAGATGGACTTTATGGCCCAAAGTATGACGGACTGGGTAAAAAGGGCCGAGAAGTTACGCCGACCCGAGAGAGATAAATTACTTCGGTCAAAAGAGATGAAGTTACTTCGGCTCAAGAATTGTAAAGCTACTTCGGTTTGGACAACTTGGAGTTAGTCCGGTCTCCGAGTTAGTCCGGTCATGGCGTATTCTGGATAGATCGGTTAAGACCTTGCTACTCGGTAGCTCGGTCCCAACATATCATGGTTCAGGCAAGGGAGAACCAAGATGAGGAGTAAATGGAAGGGCCGAACTAGGGATAGTTCGGCCTACCTCGTGGCTCAGCTTAGCCAGTTTACTTCGGTTAAATGGTAGTTCGGCCGTAGTAAAAACCATCCCACTTGGTTTAAGCAGTGGGGGGGTGTAAAAGGATAAGCATTATCCTTTAGGAGTATGAATCCTATGAGGACTCTGCATGGAGAAATAAAAGTCCTACTAGGATTGGGCCACTCGAAACCTATAAAAGCTCACAAACATCACCTAGGAATCTTCTTTTGAGCCGATGGAATATTGATGGAAGATTTCGGCCAGGCCAAGGTTTAGTCCGGCTTGCGCCTTGGCAGACCCGCGAATCATAATACTATAAGTTACCTCATTAGGCAATATGTTCTTCGTGATCATCTCCGACATTATATCAAAAGCTGCATCCATGTGCCCACCATTGCAAGCAGCATCGAGAAGAGTATTGTAAGTATAAATATCCTGATCAATCCCTCTATAAACCATCTCACCAAACAAGTTCCTCCCAGTCTCCCACAAACCTGCACCACTACAAACAGCAAGAAGCGAATTAAACGTAATTCGATCAGGCTGCACCCCATTTCTTAACATTTCATCGAAAATCACAGATGCCCGTGTGAAATCTGCACCCCCTTTTCCACAAGCATCAATTAACGCATTGTAGGTCACCAAATTGGGCTTCAAACCACAAGTTTTCATGGTTTCAAAGACCTTAATGGCTTCATCACAAAAGCCACTCTTCGCATAAGCACTAATTAAAGCCGAATAAGCATAGACTGTGTTCCCATACCCCTCTTTAACCGCTGTATCGAACACTTTCTTTGCCAAATCAACTTTCCCCAATCTGCCAAGAACACTAATCATAGCACTCGCAAGCTTACCCTGCTCGTTTCGCCTTCTCTCTCGTTGCACGGCGAATTCAAAACACCGAATCGCCATCGAATACTCGCCCCGATTACCAAGCTCTCGAAGCAAGAACGTGTAGTCATCGGTACCACAAAGCCTCGATTCGAAATTACGCAACAAGCTATCTATATGCCTGTTATCATCGCCGCCACTGTATCGAATCGCTTGCTGCAGAGCTTCTTCGGCAGTCGAAGTGTGTCGGCTCGCAATTGAGGTCTTTTGGCGGCAACTTGCAAGAATTGGAACATTTCGATTCATGTTTGTTTTGAAAATTGTTTCGAAATATGTACCACTTGAAAAAGTGATCGTATATAAACATTACTCAAATTATTCCAATTCAAGCACTAAGCCTTCATCCACAGGCATACAAACAGTTTGGCATTTAAGCAATTAGCCTCATGGTACGCATGCGAAACATGGCAACATTAGCACTCATGCAATTATGCTAAAACGAGTAAAGGCCCACCTAGTACTCTAAGTCAAAAAGAGAAATTAGTTAAAAAAATGCATGATTCTAACTATGCAATTATAACTAATGCAACACATGCGATATGCAACTAAACAGGCTCGGCTACTAATATGGCATATGAAACAATTAAATAGTATGCGGTCTAAGCACGTATTCAAAGAAGTATTGAAACTAACTAACAATGCAGTTAGAATGATGAATCAAGCCTCGGTGCATGCAATACAAATAGATGCAAACATGAAGTATGCTAATCAAAACATGATGTCCCTAAACTAACCATCATAAGCTAGTAAATAAAAGGGAGAAAGACGTGGGGTTGGAAGACATACACTATAGCGATCTCGGTATTCCTTGTTGTTGTTTAACTGTAATCCGGACTCGGTTCCGTAGATTCGTTGTTGTCTTATCCTCATTTCTATCCCTTACTCTTTGTGTTAGAGTTTTGGGTTGTGTTAGGCAAGTTGGGAATAAGTTGGTTGTGTTTTAAAGCTTAGAATTTTTGCCCAGGCTTTGGTCTCTCCACTCAAGTGGCAGTTTGGATGCTCGAGTGTGAATTTCCTTCTCTCAGCATTTTGGACGTCTGCAGAAAATTCTGGGAGAGTGCATCCGGCGCTCGAGCGGATCTTTGGACGCTCGAGCGTGAACCTATGTCTGACGCTCGAGCGGGGCGTTGTACGCTGGAGCGGACCTGTTTTTATATCAGTCCGTGAAATCAATTTTTTGATCACTTTTTGATTTCCTTTTTCTCTCTTACTTTTTCAAAACCTCCATTGGAGAGCACCTCACTCTAAAACCTAACTTCTCTCTTAGGATTGATCTAGTTAGAGTGTCTTCCTACCCTTTGGACTTTGTAAAAGTTGTGTTGATCGTCGAGGGCTTCGTTTTGATTCGAGAAATTTGGGATTTGGAGCACTTCCGAGTTTTGCTCTTCTTCTCCTTGAGTTCTACATTTGAGGTAGGGATTTCCTTGTTCTTTTTCAATACTTCGTCTATAGATAGACATGTAGTAGTTTTGTATTTCATGAAAACCATACCTATGTTGGGTTTGTTTGAAAATCATGAGGAAACCTAGAGTTGGTTGATAAAAAAATGGAATTATTGTCTTTTGGTTGTTCATTGGACTAATTGTGGCGTAAAATAGCATGTTGTTGTTGAAATATAGAAAAGCCCTAATTTATATGTGTCATGATAAATTAAAAGAGGGGTTTTGTTCTTTGGGCAAATACTTGTGTATTTTGGGTCTCAAATGAGGTCTTTGTTGTTTATTGTTGATGATTGAACCTTTTTGGTCAATGTTGAGAAAGAGGGAGAAAAACCCTAACTTAATAATTATGACTTAATTTGCATAATAAATTTGGAAGGTTATGAAAGGAATGGAATTGATTTTGGGGAATGAGAAAAGTGTTTTTGGAATAAGTGGTGGAACATGTTGATTTGGAAAAATTATGAAAGTTGATTTTGAAAGTGAAGAATGAAACTTTAACTCTATGTGAGTCATAGAAAATAAATATGAGAATTGGATTGTTGTATCATGCATGTCGAGTGCACATATTTGGGGAAATTAATTTGTAGCTACTATGCTTGGGTTGTTGATGGGTTTGGGATCTCATGATAATTGAGTATGTTAATAGATGTACAATATACATGCATCTAGAGGTTTTGTCCTTGGTCATCGGTGGAGGATGACGTGGTTGTGTTGAATTGTCGTGTATGCATTATACCATTATTGATTGAATGTCATATGTGATAAAGTGTTGAGATACATTATATATGTATGCTTGCTCAGGAGGAGGTAGTTATGTGTTCATATACTTTAACACATTGCTTGCATCTTGATGGTTTGTGTATATGTGTTACACATGTTGGTTATGCCCTGTTGCATTTCGATTGGTGGTGTTATACCTTGCGTTAAGAATCAGAGGTACCGTGACCTTCCAGCTAGCGCCTGGTAAACTGGCATGTTGTTGTGAGAGGTGTATCTTTGGCTTACTACGCACATAGCTAGTAGAGCAAAGTTCTGTTGTTGATGTTCCAGTGTGTCTAGGAATATCATGGATTGTGTTGATTACGGTTTTGGAGGGCCGAGTTGCCTCATTGGTTTGTCTTATGTATGTTGGTGAGTTGTTATCTCCCCTTTTATAACGATGCATGTATAGATTTGATTGTATCAGGAAGAGGCCAAAATGTCATTTTTTTGTCTTTTGGAAAGTATGAAGGAGAATGGATATTTTAAAGAGATATATATATATTTTGAAAAGGTATGTCTGTGTATGTTTGGAAAATGGAAGAGAGTAATGGGCTTAGTGAATTTATTTCCTAAGGTATTGTTAATGTTATGAAAGATTGGGAACGGGAATTAATGAGAAGAAAAGAAAATTGAATCGCCTATGGCGTTGATTGAAATGGTTGTTTTCAAGAAAAGTTCATACATATATATATATATATTGTGTAAACTGTCACATTACTATTCTAGTATGAGAATGAGCATTCATGATCATAGCTATCTGTAAGTTGTTATTGTTGAGGGCCATGTTGAGATCCCTACTGGACTATATGTTCATCCCTCGTTGTTAAATCTTTTTCAGGTGTTTGACAGGATGTGCTACAAGATTTGAATCTTCTTATTTGTTGGCCACGGGGCCTCTTATTGTAGGCGGAATGCCATATATGAAAAAGTGTTGTACCCTTCATTTGATTATTTAATGTTGTAAGCCTGAGGGCAACTTATTCAGAATACTCATGTTGTATTTAATTAGCATTCGAAAGAGAGAATTGTTGTTCACTCCTTTTAGTTGAACATTGGAGTTTATTTCTGCATGTTGCCTCTAAAATTGAATTAAGTTAATGAACTTGGTAATGACTTCGAGTAATAAAAAGTGGGGCGTGACATACACATTATTACAACATTACGCTCTTATGAAGGAGAGTCCGAATGAATAAACTAGCTAACTAAGCTAAGCTAATTAAGCTAACTAATTAGACTAAAGCTAATTAAACTAAATATTACAACACTAGAATTAACAAACTAGTTAACAAAGTAATTAAATAATTACAACACAAGTGCAATTAAAATAAGTAAATAAACTAAACAACTAACTACTACGCCTCAGAAAACGAGAGATGTTCATGCACATGATCGGTTTCTACCCGAAAAGCCACTGTTTTGCTTCTGAATGCTCTGTTTGCATAGTTGAACACCAACATTGCTGCCTACTTCCAGAATAACTCTACTCTGCTTGAAGAACGCACTGCTAAAATTTGTATCAGTGGCCGGTCGGCCAGTGATGAAGGTTACCGACCACTAGTGATGGTCGGTCGGCCATCAAAGGTGGTCTGTCGGCCACCTGCTAGCCACTGCTACACAAATTCATCTTGCTGCAACAGAGGACAAACAGAACATATACAGGGTATTTCAAGGGTTTGTTTGCACAACTCACCTTTCCTTTTCATGAACAAATCAAAGGAGTAGTGAACTTGGTTCATAAACCACCAACTCAAGCAATTTCATTTCATGATGGCATATGAACCAAAGTGTGCAATTTTAATGAATGCAAAACAAGACACAAACCTCCTCCCTTTCATGAATGATCAAGGGAAGTGGTGACCTTGGAACCTTAAACCATTTCATCACTAATAAGTATGAAATGCCTCAAGCTTCTATATGTTCAATTAACGTTCGATTTAACATTACCAAATTATTATCTTGCACCATTTTTAGTCTCAATTTTAGTTACTCAATTTTAAATTACCAACCATTCTTTAATCCATGAAGTCCAAAGGGTGAGATTAAGTCCTCTAATAAAAAGAGGGCTCAAAACACAAATTACTTTAAGTATGAAAAAAGCATCATATTGTTGGTAATGAACCCCCTAAGGGATTAAACCATTAAGTATGAAACCTCAATTTCATACTTGGGAAAAACAAGTGACTTAAAACCACTTTCAAAAAAAAATAAAAGCCAAGAATAGAGGGAGGTTGCAAAGATTATTAGTGCTAAAATGAAGTATGGAAAGCCAAAAATAAGTGCTATCAACTCAAATAAGTGATGTCTAAGACCTAAAATATCAAGCTTATGAGGACTATTACACTAGAAGCATACTATACAAAGCTTAAAAGACTGAAACAACCAAAAATAAGTCTAAAATAGTCTTAAAGAAAACCTAAAACATGCTGGAATCAAGACAAAAAAGGCTAGAAAAATAAGCTAACATATAGAGCAAGTTAGGCTAGTAAACAAGACACATGGAGGGGAGGCTAACCCCTCCAAATTCGAACTTCAAAACATGATTTTAGCCACTAAAAAAGATCTAAAAATCAGTGTTTAAAAGCTTGGAAAAAGATAGTAAAAGAGTGGGAAACACAAGGGTAAAGGCCTCCAAAACAAGGTACAAAGAAGGGCTATCAACCCCTTAACCTTTAATGGCCCTAAACCCAAGATTCAGCCCAAAAAACACAGAGTTTTGACAACCCAAAAAAATGGATAAATAGTAGGAAAAATAATAGAGAAAGCAAGCAAATAGGTGAAGCCTTATACCTCTTGAAGAGAAGAAGCAATTCCAAGCAA